CCCAGGCAAAAAGAGCCTCCCGTAACATACATTCTAAACAGTAATAATAACAGGCCGTCCGTAGCTGAGTAAACCTGGGTGTGGCTAGCCAACACCCACCGCTCAGGCACATTTGTATTTGTTCAACGCCCACAACCTATGTTGTAGACCGCAGTTATGGTACAGTTTCTGGGACAAAGCGCATATTTATATGATCAACCGTCTGAACAAGGCTAGTTCGCTCAAACACACGATCACAATGACTTGCGACTGTTGGATATTGGTTTAGGAAAGACCTTTGGCCTTACTTCCGTTGCATCAGTGTTTGAGCCAAAATCGGAACTGGTGATAGCATAATTAAGAAATGCATCTGGTGGCTAAAATAAACAGGCGCACAAGAACCGTTATAGCTTTTAAAACTGCAGGTTGAGTATTTTTAAGACATTAATAATAAAAAATATAAATTAAGTTAGCTCACTTACATATTCCTAACGTTCACTTTTAAATTGACTGTAACGGAGCGCGTTTCATGCACATTAACTTAAAAATTCACAACTATCAATTATATTATTTTTGTCTAAGCAGTTCACCCCTGACGTTGATCTTGAATGAAATTGAAAGTACTTGGGAAAGCAAAAGGAATTAGAAAAACTACGGCGTCATTTTTAATTAGTTTCACTAAGAAACTGAAACGTGAATTTGAGAGGATTAAAACAAACAAGCTCAAATATTAATTTAATTAGAAAACAGACAAGCTTACGGGCCCATTTATTTCTTCAGAAAGGTGGTTTTTCTTAGTTCCTCAGATCACATTTTTTATGATTGAGGAACCAGGAAAATACCACCGTCCTAGGGAAATGAAATATAATCTATGGACCCTTAAGGTTGTCAGTTTTCTAATGAAATATATATATATATATATATATATATATATATATATATATATATATATATATATATGAATGAAACATGTCGTGTAATTTATTGGGGTTGTTGTAACGTCTTCCTTTAATGTAGTTCTTATCGTTCACCCCTTAGCCACCTTTATCTAGAAACGAGACGCGTTAAATTTGAGCAACATCCAGCCGACACACTGTGGTTAAAATAGGAAACTAAAATGATACATATGACACACTCATATCCTCTCTCCCACCTCACTTCCTCACTTCGTTAACTTTGCGTATACTTGATGAGGTCCGTCAGAAACGTGTGAATTTCTTTTCATTTTTCATTTCAGCTTTTGGAAGTAAAGTCTGATGATCCAGAACCCTGTTAAAGGGGTTATGGTGAAATAGCTTATTACATGGAATCTTAACGTGGTCTGTTTTTTATTCAAACATATCTGCTCTGAATTTTACATTGAGCTCTCTGGATATCATCCTCCTCAGGTCTACCCATACGGATTACCTAAATTTGCATAAACTATATATATATATATATATATATATATATATATATATATATATATATATATATATATATATATATATATACTAAGAGGCAACAGCGTGTTTTATGCTTGAACACAACTTCAGTCGATTATTTACATACGCTCTATGATATTGAGCAATTTTACTCATACGTATAGCATTAGCTTTGAACTATATTTTTATCGTAAGGCGACGATTTGGAATGTATTGTTGCGTGTTAATCTAATCCTTATTAATTTTCTCAGGCATGAATATTTGTCGAGACGCCAGGTGTGACTATGAATTGGACAGGTCAGCGCATATGTTTTTGATTTCGTTTCTGACGGGTATGTCAGCCGAATATGTTTTAGTTTGGGAGCAATGGCTCTAAATGAAATGGAGTAAAATCAAAAGAAAGGATTTGGTCTTTTCACCTCGACTTTAAACAATGGAAACTGAGTTGTGAACAGTTTGATATGTGGGCGGAGAATTATGCATAAATTCAACTCGATTTTGAGGATACATGGAAGACGAGTTGGGACGACAGAGACAAACGAATCTTCAGACACGCACGTACTTTCACACCCGCGCAAAAAAAGGGTAAATATTCACTTGAATTTCTAATTGAACCTTCCTGAATACAGAGATCGAAATTCCAACTCGCCATCTTCTGATCTTTTGTGTTAATAGATGCAAAATATATCCGATTGTAAATTATTTTATTCACCTTTATTAAATCGTCTATATTTATCTAAAATCAGCATTATTATTTCTTCGTTGAGAGTTTGACTTTATTTCCAGTCTTCCCAGTCGTCAACAAGATGTTTACTACGGCTTATTGGCTAAAAGAAGAAAGACATTTTTCTTCGTCAATAAGAATCACAACACTTGAAGAACCCAAACTGAACAATTGACGACTTATACTGGCACCAGTCCATAAAACAGTTTGGAAGCTGTATAACTATCTTTATCCAATAGCCGTTCGAGGATTGAGGATATCGGAACAAGTGGTGTCCGAACTGAGCGGCTGCAGGTCGACAGAAAGCAAGACTAGACCAACGGGTCTTAGGAGACATGTACGGGAAGAGACGGGTGTTAGACTTAATATTGTATGATAGAATAAGAATCAAATAGGAAAGGTTTATAAATTTACAGATTTCCTTTTATTTTATGTAAGCTTCATCAGGATTATTTTTTTTAGAATTGAAAATGATGTTCCGCTACATTCAGTTCAGTGTTGATTGTTTTTCATTGGTCAGGTAGATCTCATGTGTTTTTGTTGTGTTGTGTTAGTATTCTTAAGTGTGTGTGTGTATGTGTTTAGATTCTAGTGGGCAGTTTTGTTCGTCTGGTTAAGTTCCTGTGTTTAATTCCTGAAGATGGTACAATGTGTACTATTTCTACGGGAGTTGGTGGTGTCGGTAGGTGTGTTGATTGTTGGTTATATGTACGCCATTAGTGTTGCGGTAAATTCTATGGTTACGGAAAAAAAACATGTTTATAGGGAAATCTGGAGGTATGTGGATGTGTGTGGTGATGTGTGTTGGTTTAATTCTATTATAGATATTATTATTATTTTATTTGACTTCCGGTGAATACACATTTCTTTCCGGGTCCCGCCCAGAGACCTAAGGTTAGAAATGGCATCATGACATTTTCCACTGACCATTTAAAAACACACACACATATTTTACACAGATAAAGCCCTTCGTAAGGTGTGGTCTGTACTCGTGAGAACAATTTTTTTGTATTTCTTTAAGGCATGGGTTTTCAGGAATGTTCATGTGTACCTATATAGACGTATAGTAGAATGCCATTCTCTTTTCTTTCTTACCCCATAAATCATTCTTTTTTTGTCTTTAATAAAACAAATAGACTTGCTTATTATCTCCTCTGAAAAAAAAAAGAAATGAAGAAAATAAAATGTAGATAAAATAGTGAACGCCAATGCAGCTGCCTGATGCTGTCTTTGAAGATACAGGGAGAGAAAATTACTGCAAGCATTGAAAAATAGAAGTGTCAATAAAATCGTCAAGAATGAATAAATCGAATAAGAAACAGTTAAACAAAAACCATGAATCGACATTGGAATAAATTGAAGCCAAAATAGGAAAGAAAATAAATTTTATATTAGAATCTGTAGAAATGGAAAACACGAACAACCAAAAAAAAGTTAGAATAAAGAGAAATTATCCCCCACCCCCGCAAAAAAAGTAAAATAAAAATATTTCTAAAATACCTGCTCAGTTCGATGGTGATTATATCTCTGATAAGTGGCATACAGAATGATTAGGAAATTGTCAGATTTTAAAGAAGGTTTCGAAAGATTATAGCATGAGAGAGAGAGAGAGAGAGAGAGAGAGAGAGAGAGAGAGAGAGAGAGAGGAAATAGAAAGATAGAGTGAGAGAGAGAAAGAAAAAGATAGATAAAGAGATCGTGAGGGGGAAATAGAGGGAGGGAATGACAGAGGGGAGGGAGAAAGATTAATAAAGAGAGGGAAAGTGATAGATAGATAGATAGATAGATAGATAGATAGATAGATAGATAGATAGATAGATAGATAGATAGAGCGAAGAGGTGAGATGGAGAAAGTTAGAGAGAAAGACAGAGAGAGAGGGAGAACTGGGAGAGTGATATATACACACACACACACACACACACACACACACACACACACACACACACACACATATATATATATATATATATATATATATGAGAGAGAGAGAACGAAAAACAGACAGATAGATAGATAGATAGATAGATGGAGAGAGAGAGAGAGAGAGAGAGAGAGGGCGAGGGATGAGATGGAGAAAGAGATAGAAAGACAGAGAGAGGGAGAGAGAAAGAGAAAGAGAGGGCCAAAGTGATAGATAGAGTAAGAATGAGAGCGGGAAAGTTTGATAGATACAGAGAGCGAGAGGGAGAGATGGGGGTAGAGAGAAAGAGAGAGACCAAAGTATAAAAACTGTGCGTAAATCCAACAGCATAGAAGTTAATAGCAATTACTGGTAATATTAACTTATTTTCAGATAAGGAAACATTCAGCTTTCATTGACAGAGCAGCCAGTGTTACGCTTTTCTTCAATCCATGGCCATGAAACAGTGATCAAAGTGTAGTATCTGTCCTCTTCATCTCTCATGGTAATGGTAATACTAAACATTTCCATATAAGGACATATATGTAATACATTAACCAAGCAACCAGTGTTACGCGAGTTACGTTTTTCTTTATTTACTGTACATTTTGTTGGGCGCAAAGTGTCGTATCTTTTCTCCTAATCTCTAATAGTAATTTTAATATTAGCCATTTCCTTATAAGGAAATATTCAGCACTCATTGAGGAGTAGACAGTGCTACTCGAGTTACTTTTCTTTAGTCCCTGGCCATCGAATTGTGATCAAAGTGTAGTATCTGCCTACATTTCTTTTCTAGAATGTGTTTCTGTCTTCGAACAGAACACACGAAAAATAGTTGAGGGATGCCTTGTCCCGGGGACTTCATACTTACATCAGCATATCTCTCATTTTACCCATGATGGCCATTATATCATTTGCATCATCGGTCTTAGACTCCACGCTTTAATCGAGCCTTTTGCCATACTCCCGTGGGAAGTGAGTAAATAGTAAGTGTAGTATCTGTTCTCCTCATCTCTCATGATAATGATAATATTAAACATTTTCGTATAAGGACACATTCGGCATTCTATGAACGAATGCTACAATAAAATTTGATGGTACTCAATAGCGAAAGATGCCTCCCAAATGCTAAGCAGAGTATTAATAAACAAGAAAATATATACAGTCCTCGTTTATGGTAGTGAATGGTGGTTTTATTGACAAAAAACAATATGACGCTGTTGTATAGTAATGTTTTATAGTTAAAACTTATTTCTGTCAAAATAAAAGCAAATGCACTGCAGTTACTCCTCACAGGTGAAAAATAGATGGACACTGAGAATATCATGGACCAAACATGTGACCAACTGCGTAATTTTAGAGAAAATGGAAACAAAAAGGAAACAATACCAAGAAGAGAGTTGAAATTTCTAGGGTACATAATGAGGAAAGAGGGCTTGGAAAATCTGATGCTCATAGGACAGATTGAAGACAAGCTTTTGTGCTTATTCACCTTCTTTACTATGGCTATATGTAAATCCTGGGCAAGATAAGGCAAGTGGAAAACACACATATGGCGCATTTTGATACACTAATAAAAAGGATGTATATATTAACATCGCCAATAAATTAAGATCAGAAATCATAGTATTTATTATTATTATTATTATTGTTGTTGTGTATCGAAAGTATTTTCATTTTTTTAGAGACTTTTACTTTAAAGATATTTTATGTGCACATCTACGACTCCATTATTATTATTATTATTATTATTAAATAGATTATTTTTTGTTTCTTAATGAACTTTGCATGTGTAGATGGTGTAATGGTTTACATTTGGAAACGAAAAATCGGTCTGCAGAGTTTGAATTTCAGTCGAGTTCATTGAATTTATTTTCGTACAAATAAACCTTGGGACAATTATAAATCAACCCCCTCCCCTCTGAGAGTGTTGGATTTATAAGCAGTAAAGCAGATTGGGCCCTTCTGCCTTGTTTGGCAACCAATGTATAAAAAGGAAATCTTTGAATTTAAAATCAGTTGGATTGTGACACTATATTTTGAACACCCACATTCGTGTCTTCCTCTTGGTTTCAAGTGTCACGTGTATTTTATGACTAGTGATTATGGGATACTTCAGGCAGCCACCCACGTAACCAAAAAAATAAAGAATAAGAGATAATAAGAGATAATAAGAGATAATAAGAGATATATAAATGAAAACATTTGCAGACAATTGACAACATTTGACATTTGGATTTCCGGTCGTTTACTTCTATTAACCATCACGGTGAGGAGTGAAGTACTATGCCGCACGAAGTAGTTCAAAAGCCGCCCGTTAGAGTTACCAGTAGCGCGTCGTGATGCTGAAATGGGCCGTGAGTTGATAGAAGGAAGAGTTGAAGGAAGAAAAGCTGATTTGCTAGTTTGAAATGACAGAAGCAACAGAAGTTGTCTAAAGTCTTATCTACCGTCTCAACCAGACCGTCTTTGCATGAAACAACTAAATATATTGGAAAAGAATTCGAGTTCTTCATTTCTAGCTGTGGTATTTATTTTCGTATGTTACCTTGTGAGCTTGCAACGGGAATACCGTCTCGAACAAGAATAGAAACGCAACGTCCCGTAGGTGAAAACATGAGAGAGTGCCGTATTTTATGTTTACAGGGTATAGGGCTGGTAAATCTATCCCGTAAATAATTACTAGCTACGGAATCAACAACAGGAGCGGTTATAGTGTTGAGTGCTGCGGTCACATACTTCCCAGTGGAGTCTATGGGACATGCGTGAATTTCCAACCTTATTTAATATAGATACGAGACTATGGCACAGCTATTATTATTATTATTATTATTATTATTATTATTTTTCACCACAGTGTTGACTAATGCTTCGCGGTGCATGTCTACTTGTCTATTATTAAAGATGTCGCAAAGATGAAGAGTCTTGAAACCATCATGACAAGGCCCCGGGTACGATGGACCGGACATCTTGCACGAATACCAGTCATCCACCTACCCAAACAAATCCTCTTTTCGGAGCTCGCATCTGGCAAGTGACTTATGTGAAGCCCCACGTCGTCGATTCAAGGATCAACTTAAAAACACCTTGCTGAGGATAGAAAGCGATGCGCCCAACTGGGAGACGGAAGATGCAGAAAGAAACAATTAAAGAAGAGCAGTCCACGAAAAAAAAAAAAAAAATCTTTTCGAAAACACCAGAAGAAAAATAGAAGATACGAAGAGAGCCCATAGAAAAGCCAGAGCTCTCCACCCCTCTTACCCTACCATGCGGTGGCTTTGGATGTCACTTCAGAACCAACATAGGACACATTTAACACAGAAGCAAATGTCACCCCAAAAACCAGCAGCAAGTTCCGCCAACAGATGGCATGCATACACACACACACACACACACATATATATATATATATATATATACACAGAGAGAGAGATTTTCCAAGAGTAGCTTAGACGTAGCACAAGGCCGAAAG